CTCACACATACACCACCCCATACCACCCCAGAATTCTCAATAATAAAATAACCAGAACTGGGGGCATAATTTACCTTGTGATACCATTCATTGTCAATATTGAGGATAATCCTTTTTTTATACTCTAATCAGGCAACGTATCTCAGGGGATACGCATATTTCAAAATGTGATAAAAGCAACACGAACAACATATGACTTAATTGTATTTTTCAACATATCATGACAATGTTCACAATTAATACTAATAGTTGTATTGCAGTATTTATTTATTTTACATTTTTTGGCTGAAAAAAGTAAGATTAATATATGCCTACTTTCTACATTTTCTGAATGTCCAGCCCCATACTCCAAACAACTTCAGCTATGATAATGATATCACTATTGGATGAAAAATTATTCCTCGTGCCTCATACAATACACTAAAGAATATGTATCTTGTGGTACACGTTGCCTGTTTTAGGGAGGACTTTATATGTAATATATGTAATTTCATAATTCTATTGCACTTAATATGGTTAAAGTGTAGTGATGAATGCACTGACAGGCATTTATAATAAACTAAAATATAATTTAATCTAATTTCTGTTGAAACTGTCATGCATTTAAACTTGATTGCCATTTCTACTGAAATGTGCTTTAGTGTGTTAGTCAACACATCAAAATAAGTGTACTTCTTTCCAAGATAGAGCCGACGCTGATGGCTGCCTCCGTGGCGTGCTCCGCAGTTGTTTTTATGTTTTTGTTAGTTTGTCCTGTCTTTAGTTATATCCCTGCAATCAGCTGTTTAGAGCAGATCGTGATGCAGAATCAATGGGGAAATCGCGCGGCGGTGGGACATGCTTTTACATCAATGAGAGGTGGTGTACAGATGTAACTGTGTTAAAGAAGATGTGCTGTCCAGATCTAGAAGTGCTCTTCATTAACTGTAAGCCGTTCTATTCGCCGCGGGAGTTTTGCTCATTCATTCTCGTCAGTGTCTACATTCCTCCGCAAGCGCACTTGAGCTCAGCTTTACAGAAACTCGCAGATCTGATCACAGAGACAGAAGAACAACACCCGGACTCTGTTTTAATCATTCTCGGGGACTTTAATAAAGCCAATCTCTCCCGTGAACTGCCAAAAACCATGGTTCACTGCAAAACTCAGACAGCTCCGTCAGGCCAAAGAAGATGCTTACAAGAAGGGGAACAATGTCTTGTATAAACAGGCTAAATACACGCTGGAAAAGGAGATCAGAGTGGCAAAGAGGAATTATTCTGAAAAAATACGGATTCAGTTCTCTTCCAGTGACTCCGCATCAGTGTGGAAAAGTCTAAGAAATCACCAATTACAAGACACCATCCCCCAGCACTGTGGAGAATCAACAACTGGCAGGCCATCTGGTCGACGCTACAGAGCACTGAGCACCAGAACGGCCAGACACAGGAACAGTTTCTTCCCTCAGGCAATCCATCTCATGAACACTTAACAATAACTGTGGAACACACACTATTTATACACTCATACACTTATTTATCTAACACTCATACTCAGTCTACACCTCAAATTTTCACATAATATACAGTACCTGTACATACAAAACTGTATATTGTAATATACCTGCACATACAATTGTCAATTTATATATTTTTATTCCTTATTTACTTGTTCTATTTTTTTTTTTTTATTATCTGTTTTTTGTTCTTTCACTGTCATTCTGTTACACTGTGGAAGCTTCTGTCACGAAAACAAATTCCTCGTATGTGTAAACATACCTGGCAATAAAGCTCATTCTGATTCTGATTCTGATTCTTCTTTAAAATACTGTGTACGTCAGTGTTTTAAGAAATATATTTTTTATGATTTGAAGTTCACTATTAAGCACACTTCTTTTTTCTTTCTTTTTTCCCCAAGAAGAGAGCCATTTTCTCAGCACCCTAACCTAGATGAAACCTCATAAAAAGCAACTGAGAAAACACTCTACATGCAGAAATTTCACATGGGAGACTTGATTGTAACCGAAAGCGACGTTAGCATGTAGCTAATGATCAGCCTGTCAGTCACAAAGCAGAGCACAATGCTCTAATAAGCATAACAATTCATAACAAACACAAATATGGCACACATACGCTATTTTGGATTTATTTTCACTGAACATATGACAGTTCATTCTGGCAATGCCTTAAGGTCTCTTCGTTCATGAAAATTCAAAGGCCTGTATCCAGCAAATCAGTTAAGATACTTGTATTTCTTCTAATAATGTGAATTGTCAATAAAAAAAAAATCTAATTATAATGACTGATGGCAGAAATAATAAGAGATGTATGCTAGGATGCTAACTGTCTGAAACACAAAGGTTTATGCAGCAGCCTTCAGTATGTACTGGCAGACAGCAAGGCATCTCAGTAGGATTTGGAACAGAGCCATTGACTTGACCGCTATGAAATAAACAAACAGTTCATCATGGTCATTTTCTGTAAGGAACAAAGAATAATTCCTCTGCGTAATGTGTCCTGGACACAGATTAGATGCAGTTGTTGACTAATACAGATTTTCACAGTAGAATATTCTTCGGCTGTGGAGTTTAATCCGTGACTGGGTCTGGAAACACTGTCCTGGAAATTGGCCATATGGTTTGACAAAGTGAGGATTCCCCTGAGTGGTTGTGCGGCGTAGGAGTGTGAGGATGTTTTGCAGAAACACCTTTGAGTAGGTTGTGACATTACACGTCTCTAGATTCTGTGCTGAGAAATACAAATGGAGTGAGATTTCCAGACGTACGGAGACAGGGGTGCATAAGGTTGACCATATTCAGCCACTCAGTCGCTAATGGACAATTTATGTCAGGTAGACTAAAAAAGATAAGTCTGAACTCTGAGGTGCAAGTTTTGTCGGAAGAAAGAATTGACTTTTAAGACTAAAATGTCTATGTCCGAGTTAAGGGAAATTGGATGTAATGAGTGCAGCTCCCCTGTTGATGGTGGTCGTCCCAGAACCCAAGATATTATACAACCAAGGCAGTCTTTGCTGTAGCAAGATGGCCTCTCACTTTTCCCATTTATCCCTCTAGATGTATTGAGAAAAAAAAAAACAGATTGCCATTAGCCACCACTTGCATCAGAGATAAAACATTAACTATGGCATAATGTAGATAAAATCATTCAGCTCTCATGTCTAACAGAAGGGCAGTGTTCAGCAGGATTTTTGGGAAAGGACACTGTCCTGTGGGAGGGGCCAACCTCATGACATCACCGCAGGTGCAGAGTGATAAATGCTGTGTTTAGGTGAAAGCGAGAAATGGATATCTCATTTGTAAAAACCCACCGGAAGAACCTTATAAGTAGAGCAAGCTGGACACTTCTACCTGCACACTGTCTTCATTCTCTGCTGATGTCAATAATTCAAAAGTAGCTGTGTATTCAGACGATAAAATTCAGACAATAAAAATAAAAATGTTAATATGTTATTTTGATATATCAAAATATCAATATATTAGTTTGTGTATACAAATAATAGTAATAATAATAATAATAATAAAACTAAAATATAATATAATTTATGTTTGCATGCATGAATATGTTATACATATTCAATGTTATTTAATAAATAAAATAAAATGTGTGGCTTTACATATTATAATACATTATAATATGTGTTATTCTTTATTTTAATTAGTTAATTCTATAATATAGTACTATATATCATAATATGAAATGTATAATATATAATTTTATGTATTCATCATATATGTAGGCTACATGTGTGTAAAAATGTCATTTGTATTTAATAATATTTTAATGTAATAAAATATTTTTTTAATAAATAAACAATAATTTTAAATATATATTAATAATACATGTAATGGATCTTTTAATGGATATTTTGTTGTCAATATAATTAGTTATTAGTCTCATGACATTTATGGCTCAGCTGATAATTGGGCCTCAAACTGAGTGTCTAAGCATGGTAGCAAACAGATCATGTATCTCTGGTGGGAGAATGCCAGAACTCTTATTATTATTAATGGGAATGCTGACGAATAACTTTCTTGAAATAAGATACAGCTTTGACAATTTTAGCCCATGTGAAAATAATTATTGTGTGTATAGTGATAGTTGTCTGACTGCAACTGTTTTGTTTATAAAGTGAAAAGAAACTACCTATCAGGAGTGTAAATCAATTCACAAGAAATTCCAAAAAGGAACGTCACACGCTAAAAAAAAAAAAACATTAGAATGGAGCCAGTATTTTATTTTATTTAAAAAAAAATCACACACCATAAAAATTACATGTACAAAACTATAAGATCTTAAATTGATTTATGTACAGTTACAAAAGAAAATGGCAAAATAAAAAGTGACCAAACAACTCAAATTAATAGGTATACTTGTGCTCCCATTCGGGACTGTTGCTGCTGCTGCTGCCATCTGTTTGTTGCTTTGAGTCCTTTAGGTTTGAGTTCTCACTGGACGAGAGGGTCACGACTGACACTGTAAAGTCAGAGGAGATGCAGGAGGGCAGATTGATGAAAGTGCAGAAAGCACAGACATGCTGTTTACTTTGTCCCATCTGAGTTTCCGCTCACTGGTGCAGTTTGCATGATTGAATGGGTGGAGAATGATGAATATCTAGAGAAAACAAGAGAAAGAGAAAAAAGATCAGACTCTTTGGCAGAAGGCATGACGCTTCTGAAGAGATAAGAAAAGACTGCAGGTCCTGCCTAGTCATCGAGGAGCTAACATAGAATTCACAAGAATGATCCGGTTCAATACAATTTAAGCTCTGTTGATAGTGTTTGTGGCATAATGACTACTAGTGTGAATTTACATGTACAGAACTATATAGAGCATTCGTGGAGGGTCGGAGTGCTATTGTTCCATCTATCCATCTATCATTCTATGTATTATTCTATCATTTTATATTGCTCTATCTATCCATCTATTGTTGTGTATCCATTTATCACTCAATTGTTCTATCACGTACAATTCTATCTATCATTATATCTGTCTATCTATCATTCTCTATATCCAACTATCATTCTATCTATATATCTATTGTTTTGTGTATCCATCTATCATTCTTATGTTCTGTTTTTTTTTCCATCTATCTCACTATAGTTCTATTTATCATCCTATTTATCATCTTTTGTTCTATTTATCTGTATATTGTTGTATTTTCTATCTATCTATCATCTATCTATCTATCTATCTATCTATCTATCTGTCTGTCTGTCTGTCTGTCTGTCTGTCTGTCTGACTGTCTGTCTGTCTGTCTGTCTGACTGTCTGTCTGTCTGTCTATCTATCGTGTTCTAACTATATCATTCTAACTAGTGTTAAAGAAATGTCTTATTATTATCAATGTTGCATGCAAACACTTATGCTGCTTAATATTTGAAGTTCAAAATAACTTTGAAAGAATTCAAATGTTTTTAAAGAATTCTAATTTTATAATGTGCGTTTTAATGTCAATTCTGTTCAGTTTAGCATTGTTGCTGAGAAAAAAAAGTATTAATTTCTTAAAACTTGGCCCAAACTGTTGAACCAACAGTTTTAGCTTTTATTTAAAAACAAAATAAATAAATTATGTTTTGTAATATTTTAATGATATTTACGTATATAATTCACCAATATAATGAATATTGTTGTATTGACTTAACAATTACTCCACAAATACATTGTGGATTACTGTAACTGTCTTTAACAACTACATTTACTTTAACAACTACAAAATATATACACTAAAATTAAAGGGCATTGTCTAAAAATGTTATGTGATGATCAATATTATGCCACAATTGCTGTGTACTGAGTTTGCTTTACACTCAAACCGGCGCATTCTTTTATAGCCTGAAGTCTTCAAAGACCAGAGGGAACGAGTGAAATGAGCTTTCATAAGTGGTGATTGTGACATCTAACATTACATTGATCTTGTATGCATAAAGGAACAAAAGGAATGAACAGTAGTGCTGGCATCCTCTCAAATCTATGATGGTGGTCTTCTCTTTGGGCTTCTGGATCATTTGGATGGAAGAACAGCTGATATAAATGTTAATTTGTTGGCAGGAGGAGCAAATGGTGCCGCCAAGCTCTGGAAAGCTTGAGAGACCATGAAACCAGCCGGGATTAGACAACATGTCTGCCAACAACTCGACCCCATCCCTGATCTGCTGCCGTCAGATAATGCGTTCGCAGAGACCACCTTCAACACCTGGACAAAGACCTCCATCCATGTCTTGTTTCAGCAAACACCACAATCAGTCACCCATCAAAACCTAAATGAATGGCCATCAATATTGATCTAAATGTGTCACAACTGATTTATTTTTAGTTCGGTCCTGACAAAAGAAAATGCATCGACATGGATTTGGCCTCTAGAGCGTCCATATGTTCCAGCCAAGCGATGAGACAGATACTGGATGTTTCTCACCGCATGTGGGCTCCGAGATGGATCTGTCTGGGGCCTCACGGCTCTAAATGACAGCAAAGACGTGACAGTAGACTGAACACACAACCAAGATCATCCAAACAGCTAAGATCAACAGCTCTGGGCATTTGCATATTAAGTGTAGTTTCTGTTTTTAATCTCAGATGTTTTCTCCTCTCGTTGGCCCGAAAAGCCGAATCGTTCTGGTGTTTAATCTTGTTAGGTGAAAAATGAATGTCTTCAGTTTTGAGTGTGGCAACATAAACAGACTACTTAAGATATATGGGAATAAAAACAAAGAGAAAAGATATGCCTGTTGTTCCGGTGAGAGGACTATTTCAAGTAAAGATAAATAAACTTCAAACTACAATCCCATTGTGTCATAAAAGCCTGATCTCTCGGCCATACAAACGCTCGCACCAAAATCTGTTTATAATTCATGACAATTAAGTCAGGATTTGTTAAGATCATTTTCATTTGCCCTGTGTCAGGGTTATGGACCTGTTTTGTGTTTCTTTGTTCCATGTACTCCATGTCCTGGTTTTCCCATGTGTTCCCTTGATGTTATTAAAGTCTCCTTGTTGATGTACTCCACGTCGTCTCATTCCTCGCTCCCTCACAGTAGTGATCATTACAGAATACCGGACCAGAACATAAAGTGAGCGGCGCCTCTTCTCCCCGAGTTTTTTTTCCGGTTTTGAAAGTCTTTTGTTTTCTTGTGTTTTCCCCCCGCGATTATGGAGATCGCTGCACGCTTCATCGCGCTAGCCCGTAGAGATCTTCCCTTCGCCGAGTATGCCAGGGAGTTCTGCGGGCTTGCCGCAGTGACGGCTTTAGATGACGCCACCATCAACTCTTTGTTCTGGCACGGGGCCAATTACCATTGCCCCGTGGACCTACCAGACACCTCTAATCAAAGGAGGAGGATGAGGAGAAAAAGTCAGTTCTCCACCCTCATCCTAGCCCCAGAGCTCACTCCAGTGTTTGCTCCAGCCCCAGAGCTCGCTCCAGTGTCGGTTCCAGTCCCCGAGTTTTGCCCAGAGAGGGTCCCAATCCCAGAGTTTAGCCCAGAGAGGGTTCCAGTCCCCGAGTTTAGCCCAGAGAGGGTTCCAGTCCCCGAGTTTAGCCCAGAGAGGGTTCCAGTCCCCGAGTTTAGCCCAGAGAGGGTTCCAGTCCCCGAGTTTAGCCCAGAGAGGGTTCCAGTCCCCGAGTTTAGCCCAGAGAGGGTTCCAGTCCCCGAGTTTAGCCCAGAGAGGGTTCCAGTCCCCGAGTTTAGCCCAGAGAGGGTTCCAGTCCCCGAGTTTAGCCCAGAGAGGGTTCCAGTCCCCGAGTTTAGCCCAGAGAGGGTTCCAGTCCCCGAGTTTAGCCCAGAGAGGGTTCCAGTCCCCGAGTTTAGCCCAGAGAGGATTCCAGTACCTGAGTCTAGCACAGAAAGGGCTCCAGTTCCCATGTCCAGCCCAAGGAGGGCTACAGTCCCCATGTCCAGCCCAAAGAGGGCTCCAGTCCCCAGGTCAAGCCAGGCCCCCTGAGCTCCCTACTCCACCATGGCCTCCTGAACTCCCTACTCCGCCATGGCTTCCTAGTCTGCCTGCTCCGCCATGGCTTCCTAGTCTGCCTGCTCCGCCATGGTGCCCCGAACTGCCTAATCCGCCATGGCGCCCCGAACTGCCTGCTCTGCCATGGCTTCCAGAGCTCCCTGCTCCACCATGGCCCCTGAGCTCCCTGTGCCGCCATGGTACCCTGGACTGCCTGATCCTCCCTGGAGGTATTCCCCGTATCCCAGTCCTGCACCAGCCTCCAGGGCGCCCACCCTGGGTCCATATGAGTAATGTCAGGGTTATGGACCTGCTTTGTGTTTCTTTGTTCCATGTATTCCATGTCCTGGTGTTCCCATGTGTTCCCTTATGCCCTTATTTGGTCCTTCCTCTTCCCATTATGTTCCCTGATTAGTTCATCATTTGTTTCCAGCTGTGTTTTGTTATTTATCTTCATTTGCTCCAGTATTTAAAGTGTAGTCTGCCCTGTCTTCCTTTGTCCGGTATTGTTTATGTCAATCTCCTCTGCTACATGTGTTTTCCTGGTTCCCTTGATGTTATTAAAGTCTCCTTGTTGATGTATTCCACGTCTCCTCGCTCCCTCACAGTAGCGAACGTGACAGTATGCATGTTACTGAGAGAGAAAAAGAAGAAGAGAGGAGCATTGTAAATGAGGCAACATTAAAGGAATAGACCTTAAGGCAATAATCTTGCTTGGTGAATGGCACACAATAACGAAGCTCTGCATGATGACCTACAGCATCGCTCACTCTCTTTCCCACTGTCTCTTTGTGCTACTGGGAAAAATGCAGCCCACTCATAGACCCCCAACCATGAATTATATGAATCTCAGAGATGAAGTGCGGTAATAGCCTCGAAAAACCATGTCATCCGGCTTCCTGTTATGAACAGAATGAAGTAGAAAATTGGCCATTTAGAACAGAGCCCTGGCTGAATTACAATTGAGTTGATGTACTCCACGTCTCCTCGTTCCTCGCTCCGTGCTCCCTCACGGTAGCGATCGTGACACCCTGAAGCTTCTCCTACTTTTAAAAATATGTTCATGTGTTAACACCAGTTTATTCAAATATGCATTGTTCAAAAGTGTGAGGTCAGTAAGATAATATATGTATTTTATTGAACAAAGTTATTTTATTACAACAACAACAATACTACTACTACTACTACTAATAGTAATAATAATAATTGACGACAAAGACAGTAGTAATAATAATAATAATAATAAACAATTATTTATTTTATTTATTTACTTTCTAATAATCAAAAAAGACAGATTAATAATAATAATAATAATATCACCATCATCATCATTTATGTATTTATTTGTTTGTTTGTTACTGAACCTTTGACTGTACTCAAAAAATGCAGCCTTGGTGACCATAAGAGATTTTCAAAAAACATCTCTAAAACAAGCCAATCGAGAGGACTTTTGCAAGACTATTCCATGCAAAATCAAATTGAAGTTCTATACTGAACTCCTAGATGAAATCTTTAGCGTAAACACATTCAATCTTCTATATCAGAAACTGAGGATGGCTTTCAGCACTCAGAGAATCTTATTACTTGGTTTGGCTGCCATTATAGCTTTCATTATGAGTTATATTGCCACACCTTGTTTCTCGTCAGCACTATTGATTATGCAATTAA